AACTGAAAGAAAAAACAAAAAACCCACAGATCAGAGACAAAGTTCTGACATTAACCAGTAAATGTCTAACACCACCAAAGAACACTTATAAAACGCAGAAGGACCGGAAGCCCCCCGGGCTCCCAAACTGGGGTCAGGGAGGCTGAGGGCCTCAGCCACAACCCCCCAACATCCTTATCTAGCCCAGCGACAACCACCAAACTGCCACTGGAAGTGCCCCAGGCTCCCGAGCCAGGGTGGTGAGGGACTGAGGGCCTGGCCTTCCCCCCCCCGACATCCACATCCAGCCCTGCAATGACCACCAAGCCACCACTGGAAGTGCCCTGGGCTCCCAAGCCAGGGCATTGGGGAGCTGAGGGCCTCAGCCACACACACACACCCCATCAATGTCTGTATCTGGACTAGTGATGACTGATCCACTGCAAGAAGTGTCCTGGGCTTCCAGGGTTGGGGGGCGCCAAGGGCCTCAGCCATGTCCCCCAAAGTCTGCATCCCGCCCAGCCATGACCAAGCTGCTGCTGGAAGCCACTGGGCTCTGCTGGAATGAAAAGGATGCCATGAGCCTCAACCGTGCCTCCCCTCCTTCTTCCTCCTCCTTCCCTCTCCCCCTCCCCCTAACTGTTCCACAGTATCATCTTAGAATGTAAAAAAAAAATTATGATAAATTTTTAAAAAATAAATAAAAATAAAAATAATCATGTGATGACCCAAGAGAAATGATAACATATGTCCATACAAAAGCCTATAAATTTGTAGCTTCACTGTTCTTAATAACCAAAAAGTAGAAACAACCAAATGTCCATCAACTGATGAAAGGATAAATAAAATGTGGTGTATCTATACAATGGAGCATTATTTGGTAATAAGGAATGAAGTACTGATTACATGCTACCATATGAATGAACCTTAGAACCATTATACCAAATGAAAGAAGCCAGGCATAAAAGACTACATATTATGTAATTCTATTTATATGAAATGTCTACCATAATTGGCAAATCCATAGGGACAGAAAGCAGATTCATTGTTGGCCAGGGTTGGGGGAGGAATGAGAAATAACTGCTAGTGAGTATGAGATTGGTTGGTTGGTTGGTTTTTTGGAGTGCTGAAAATGTTCTAAAATTACATTGTGATTGAATTGTGTGCTTTAATTGGGTGTATTTTATGGTATGTGAATTATGTCTCAATAAAGCTGTTAAAAACTATATGATACAACCCACCCAGCGGTAACTACTTGTAATTCTTGGTAAAAGAAGACTGTTTTCTCTAGACTGTTTTTCATATACCCATGTATGTTGCGATGTGTGAGTGTAGAAAAATGGAACCATTGAAGTCATGCTTTTTCATTGAAATGTATCTTCCATGTTAAATATACAACTACATTGTTATTTTTAATGACTACAGAGCATTGCATTGTGGAAATACCATTTTTTATTTAACAAATCCCTTATTCTTTAGCATTTTGTTTGCTTCCAGTTTTTTGCTATTTTAAATGTCAAAAAGAACAACCTTATACTTAGATGTTTTTGCACGAGAATGATATTTAAGATAAATTTCCAAGTGTGGAATTCATAGGTAAATGACATGAACCTCTTCAAAACCTTTGATACGTATTAGCAAATTATTTTCCAGAAAGTTGTGTCATTTAAGCCCTACTTGTTGGTCTTCTCACTCTCCCACACACACGTAAACTGGGTGTACAGCCCTTGCCAGTCTCACAGATGAGAGGTAATATATGATTGTCATTTAATTTTCACTTCTTTGGTTACAAGTAGATTTGAACATTTGTTCTTCTTTATGGGCCATTTATAATTCTTTTTAAAATCATTTATGTCTTTTCCTGTCTTTATGTCACTTTTTCTGATTTATATGCAGGAGCTCTTTATATAGTAAGGATATTGACCATTTTATCAAATGGTTGTTTAAGGTTTAACATTTACCAAGATTTTACTTTAAGCATTTGATGTAATGCTTTAGAAAGTTTTTCCTGAGAGGATTATTTAAACACACACACAGAGTACTTTTGTGGCTCTGTTTTTACATGTAATTTGTATTCTCTTTGATTTATTTTGGTTTATTTTATTCTCTTTGATTTATTTATTTAGGTAGGAATACAGATTTTTAAAATTATTTTTTAAAATAATTTTAAAATTATTTAAAAGTACTTTTGTGGCTCTGCTTTTTACATGTAATTTTTATTCTCTTTGACTTATTTTGGTTTATTTTATTCTCTTTGATTTATTTATTTAGGTAGGAATACAGATTTTTAAAATTATTTTTTTAATCAGCTGCCTTAGCAACATCCTTTGTTTCCATTGCTTTGTTTCCTTTTTAAATATAGTGCTATGCCATTGTCATACCCAACAGAATAACCAATTCTCTAATATTATTTAATATACAATTCATATTCAGATTTCCCCTTGTCTCAAAATGTCTTTTTCCATTTGTTTTGTTCAAATCATGATGCAAAGAGAGTCTACACAAACAACACCTGTCCCATTGTTTAATTTTTTATTTTATTCCATAAATTTGTTAGAAAAACTGGGTCATTTGTCCTATAAGACGTCTGGCAGCTTGGAATTGGCTGCATGCACCCTCATGGTGGTGTTTTACTTGTTCCTCTATCTCTGCTTCCTCTGTGACCTCGTCATTGGCTCCAGGACAGTGCTGTCCAACAGAAATTTCTCTGACAATGGACATATTTTCTGATCTGCATTGCCCTCTGTGGCAGCCACTAGCCACATGTCAAGATATGATTGAAGAATGAATTTTCTGTTTGATATAATTTAATTAATTTAACTTTACATAGCCACATGTGGCTAGTGGTTTACCCCATTAGCACAGCTCTAGAAGCTTGATTATATTTAGGTTCTTTTTTTTTTTTTTTTTTTTTAAAGATGACCGGTAAGGGGATCTTAACCCTCGACTTGGTGTTGTCAGCACCACGCTCAGCCAGTGAGCGAACCAGCCATCCCTATATGGGATCCGAACCCGTGGCCTTGGTGTTATCAGCACCGCACTCTACCGAGTGAGCCACAGGCCGGCTCCTAGGTTCATTTTTTTTTAGGTGAGTGCTTCAGCTTTTAAATATTCTTTGGTGAAATTTGAGGAGGCAGATATGTTCTGCTCTTGTCAGCAGTTGCTGGTGTTTTCCCCCTGGTTTAATCTTGTCTGTTAAATAACCTCAGATTATAGGGAGATTATCTTGCCTTTTGTAAATATCCTTTTTGTTTTTGTTTTTTTTCCCTTTTGTCTTTTTTCGTGTCCGGCAACGGACCGCACCCTCAGTGTCACGCCCGCACCGGACCGGGACCGGCAACGGGATCGCAACCCTCGGCGCTGCGCCCACACCTCGCTCAGCCAGTGAGCAGGAACCGGTCTGCATGTGGGATCCGAACCCTCGGCGGGAGCGCCACCGCACTCCCAAGCGGCGCACTGTAGCAGTGCGCCACCGGGCCGGCCCGTAAATATCCTTTTTGAATTTTTTTCACTGTATTCACTGATCAAATTCACTGTTTTAGTCTCAATTTACCGTTATTAATTATCATTACTAAAATAAATTTAAAACCATTGTTATTCGTACAGTACAACTCTTACATTTTTGCCTGCTTTTTTTTCACCTTTACCATGTCTATATTTTTACATAGTCACCATTAATGTAGGTACTATATTTTGGTTGATGTTTGACCTCAGCATGGTATAACAAAACATTTTCCCCCATTTCTGAATAGTCTTTGCTTTGGAAAGTGTGTTTTATAATCTTTTTTTACTCCTCCAGCACCTTAACCAGAGCTGAGTATAGCTAAACACTTCCTGGTTTGAATTTGTGAAGAATTTGCCCTGGCTTATGCAGATCACAGCTGAAACCTGTCCTGCTGGCAGACATTTCTGAACAGAGCTTTGCTGCTTTCCATGAGCCCGTGCAGGAGCTCTGCAGGGGCAGATTGGGATTTCTGCTGTGCAGTTTCATCAGTACCATTATAATGCCAAAGTCATCTCTTTGCAAAAACAAACAAAAAAAAAAGGACATCATCCTGGAAGCTAGGCCAGACAAGAGGACCCATGAGGTGTTGATGGTGCAGTCAACATGGCACTTAAGCAGTTTGGGCTTTTTCTTGAATTTTCGTTCCCTGTAGAGGTCATAGAGGCACTCTGGTGTGACCAGACTGTCTCTGGTCTAATGCCAAAGTAGTAATAACAGAAATAACAATAAATGTGTAGGGAACCGCAACTGTGGGCCAAGCATTATGCTCGGCTTCCCATGTGTGGTTCTATTTAATCCCTGAAACAACTCTGGGAGGAAGGGGCTACTATTCCCACATAAGACACAGAGAAGCAAAGTACAGTAGCTTCTCCAAAGTCATATGGTTGGTTAGGACCCTAGTCTGGCTGTGACTCTCACTGTACTATGTTCTTTTCCTCAAATAAGATAGGAGTTAAATCTTTAAAACACTGGATATGTAACTGGGTTTGCTTTGCAAGAAGCTTAGGAGAAAATCCTCCAGGCTTTAGTAACATAGAAGCTTTGAAAGCTTCTGCATGAGGGAGAGTGAGGTCTGGCTAAATGCACTCTCTTCATGCAAAATCAGTGTGCTTTAAATGTCACACATGAATGCAGGGAATGTTGGAGGGGATTTCACCAGTTTCAGTACATTTGGACTCTTGGGAGCTTTGTCCATACCAAGATAATTTGAGCATGTTTTCTAAAAGATGACATTACAACCCTAAATGGTAATTGATGTTACCAGTTTGGGTTCTTAAGTCATTTATGTAGTCGGTTAAAATGTAGATGTTGCTGTGGTGATTTATCAAGTCACTCATAAACTGTTACAATCTTTGCCTTCCTTTGTGTGACCAACACTCCTGTGACATCAGGACTGAAATATGGAGCCATCAGGGAGGTTGGGATTATGGTTCTTATTTTGAAAGTTCTTCAGTTACTTTTAGAACAAAGGATGGTATGATCCTTTTCAAGTGGTTTTATCTTATCTTTTTTTTAGGATTTGGTCAACACTGGACTCAGCACTTTCTTTTTCTTTATTGCTTCAATTGTACTGGCTGCTTTAAACCACAAGACCGGAGCAGAAATTGCTGCTGTGGTAAGCGAACTCAAATGGTTAAAATGCAGGCTGACTTTGTGTACCTTCCGTGACTTGCTCTCTTCTGTCCCTGGCATGTGTCTTACTCATTCTCCTTTAGTCTTTTCTTTGCTAATTATGATGTTATTGGGCCAGTGGAGGTCACAGTTCCTTTAGTGCTGTGGTTCTCAAAGTCTGGTCCCCAGAACAGCAGCCTCAGCATCACCCAGGAACCTGTTTGAAATGTAATTCTTAGGACCCAACCCCACGCTATGAATCAGAAACGTGTTATGTTCATAAGCCTTCTGGGTGAGTCAGATGCACGTTCAAGTTTGAGAACCCCTGCTTTAGTCCATTTCCAACAGAGTCCTGGAAGTCTGTTAATGATGTTGCTTTTCCAAATGGGGGGGGGGGGGCGGGGGTCTTAATGAAGATGAACACAGCCCTGACACCATTTAGCAGTCACAGGATATTTTTGCTCTTCAAGGTAAAGTGCTGTGGGGGGCTGGGGACCAAGCAATGTAAGACTTTACTCTCCATGCTCTTTATTTTTGTATTCTCAATTTACAGAGAATATGTGTCACTTTTATAATTGAGGGGATTAACAGGTTTTTAAAAATATTGAACTGGCTGCTCTACCAGGTGCCACTCAGTAGATTCATCAAAAAGTTACCAAATAATTAAAACCCTGCTGCTTCTCACCTTAGAGCTGCCAAGGTGAGAGACAGCTGGGTAGCACGTGGGGGCGGGGGGCTAAGATTTGGAACTCACATGTGAGACCTTAATTTTCTCTCTAAGGCATATTTTGTCTATAGTGTATTTTCTCATCTGGGACCAGAGGCCGTGAAGGTGCTGTAAAAGAGGTACATTTGTGATTTTTTTTTATAGGGCCAAAGTACTTCAAAAGAAACCTTAGGTTGTCTGAAGATCAGGCATGATTTCCTATGAGTCTTGTGACCGAAGACTCAGTTGTGATGTGACTGCTACATATTCAGGGCTGGGTGACGGGGTGGAGCTGGAGGAGGCCGCTCACAGCTCGGGTCACCGTGAAAGCCGCTCAGCTCGGGTCATGTGCCTGAGAACTAACCATGCCTGTTTGTTTTAGATATTTGGCTTCTTGGCAACTGCAGCGTATGCGGTGAACACATTCCTGGCAGTGCAGAAATGGAGAGTCAGCGTCCGCCAGCAGAGCACCAATGACTATATCCGCGCCCGCACGGAGTCCAGGGACGTGGACAGTCGCCCCGAGATCCAGCGCCTTGACACGTGAGGACCTCCCGAGTCCTCCTCCAGCCCCTCTGCACACCCATCCTGTCAATCAAGCTTTCTTTCCCTTGTCATGTCAGATTTTCATGTGATTCAGTTGAATTTTGTCCTCTCTGGTAAAAATTAACTTGGGAAAGCGTTTCCAGGGTGAAGCGCTCTCCTTGGGCAGGTGAGGCGTACATTCTCCAGTATTTCGTGGCTGCAGGAGCAGCTGGCCTCACCGACTGCCCAGGTCCACCTTAGGTCTTAACTGTCCCAGAGCGTAGGCCTCCCACCTGACTCTGAACTATCCTGTCATATTATTTGTGACGCATCAAAACTTTGGACTAAATGGGCTGCTAAGAGGGGAATGTATCAAGTAATGAACCTGCAGGGTTGGACCAGTCAGGCAGCAGCAACTCTGGGGCAGCCCCTAGCACAGGCCCCAGGTCAGTGCCGGGTCTGGCTGCCAGGATGCACCCTCCTCTCCGTCTTCCATGCCTGGGCAGTCAGGCAGCCAGCACAGGCCTGAAGGGCACAGGTGACTCTGAGGGTCCTGGTGATGGTTGTCTAGGTGGAGCTCTTTGCTGGGCCTGGACTTTGTGGGGGTGGAAGAAGCTGGTGTCCTGTTGGGACAGCTCCACAGTACAGCTGACTCATGGGAGGGCCACCTTTTCTTTCCTACCCTGCTGAGAAATCACTGATTCTTCCTCAAATGAATCACCTTCCTGAATCCCAGATTCTTCTCCAGGAATATGGGGACCATCTTGTTTTCCAGTTTTCTGCCTTCCCTGAATACTTTGAGGCTGAATTGCAGGTTTTCTGTAATTTTACCTTTTCAGGTAAAAGCCATGAAAGAAACACAATCCATTCCACCAACCAAAGCACTTGCCTGTTTGCTGGCTTCACGGGCCATGGGGCAGGGGGAATGTGCGTGCCTGTCATAAATCAGCATACACACACAGAGAGCGCTATTTTAGGGACATGTGCTAATTTTCTAAATGCCTAAGAGTCCTAAAGTGATTCTGAGTAGATTTGTCTAGGATTTGAAAATACTTGAATTTGCACCAGGATACATCCTTCCGCTGATGTTTCAGAAGGCACTAGTTGTGGCTTTGGGTGCCTCAGCATTGTAACAATGAACAGCAATCTTGGAGTTGTTGGGTAAAACCCTAGGTACTTAAGATTTTTGGTTGATTCTTGATAAAGTGAAGATTATTGTTTGTGTGGAATGAGTTAAACCAGCCCCTATGATGCTGTAGGGGTTTTTTTGTTTTATTATTAGAGACTAATTATGTCTTTTTTCAAAAAATTGTTTTGTCAGGTTTTGACTCTTTGAACTGTTTTTAATGTTTACAGACCTCACTCTAGCTCTAATATTTTGTGTTTAGCCCTCCCCAAGGAAAAAACACTTAATGCTGGAAGGAAGATTTTGCAGTAATGTGGAGAATCCCCAGGACCTTGTTCTAACAAATGTTTACAGCTTTAGCAGAGTACTGTGTAAGAAATAACTCAGAGAGAGGAGAATATATATGTTGGGGTAGTGGGAGGTGAGTCTTTTTGAGAAAGCATCCCCTAGTGGCACTTTGGCATTGCATTCTTCATGAAGGAGCAGCATCTGATTTCATGGTAAGTGTAGGGAGGTTGATCAGGTAACACTGCTAGGCTGGGAATTCGACAGGAAATGGTAGTGTTCTTGTCTCTGAAGGGTCGGGGTCAGGGTTAGGGGTTAGTGCTCTAAACCGAACATCCCATACGATCCAAGTTCTGTTGCAGTTCCTATCTGTGGCAGTGGCCCAGGTCACATATTCAAGTGCCATATGTCTGCTTCAGGGGCTGACCCTGCCGGTCTGATGGTAACTCACTTCCCTTGACCCGTGGAGGGCAGCCAGAACTGGTCACAGCAGGGTGTGCTGCCCAGTGGGTCTCAGAGCCCTCTTCCCATGTATGTTGAGAGCCAGCACAAGTCATGTTTCACAACTTTAAACCTATTATATATAGTGGTTTTGAGGGAGATTATGACATCTAGATTTTATCTGTCCATTTTATGTATTTATTTTGCATTTCTTGACTATGTATGCATTGTCAAAATTGGGCTTATCTGCCTCTGAGAGTTCTATTTAAAATAGGGTCACAAAGACTCGGCCTTGCATTAAGTGGGGCCCACTTAGAAGGACCACACTGAGCTTTATCAGCAATATCCTTCTGGGAATTGTGTTACTTGGCTTCAAGAAAAGGCTGCCTTTGAAGTGAGATTGAAGAAAAGAATACTATTCAGGCAGGATTGTTGCCCAAGTTTTCCCAGGTCACTTCAATAAAACCAGTTTATCATCTGGTGAAAAGGAGACAGTTGATGGGCCTCCTGAGGATGTGTTGTGAGCTACAAGAAATAGTTCTGAAGCCCATCAATTGTAAATGTTGATGATAAAAAGTGATGACATTTTATGCCACAGAGTGACTTAGGAGCTAATTTGCATCTTAGTGATAGAATCTTTGGAATTATTTATGTCCCAGTAACTATTTAATATCTTTTGTGCCATGAGCCTCCCCCATGGTTCTTGTAAATGTATTGCTTATATTTAATTTGCTCCCACTAGAACCTGAAGTGGCCATAGCCACTTTCTGTTGGTGTAATAAACAGTCATACATCTCATCACATACAGACAGTGTGGTGAGGAGGAGTTCTGCAGGTGACTGAAAGACACCTGCATTTTTCTTATGTTGCCTCTGTGTACAAACAGAAGACAATCTAGATTTGGGAGCCTTAAAATGACCTCCTTGCAAATTGAAGGAAGCGTATTTTTGCATTTAAGAGTTACAGTATGGATGAATGTCAGTTTGGTTTGGGGCATTTTAAGGCTGAGGCAACCTTAGTTTTTCTCAGCTTTCTGGTGGGATGGTACTGGCTTTCATAGCTGAGCAAAACTTGAAGAGAACTGCAGTTGCTGTGTGCATGTGCATTTGTTCCTGAAGACTGTACAGTTGAAACCCTCAAGCATTTGGTGGAACCTCTGGTGGTTTAAGATGGATGCAAACACTGATGTCTTCAGGGAATGTTTATTTTGGCACTGATTTGGTCGATTTGATAGTTTTTTTCCTATGATTCTCCTTTATCTTCCCATCGTAATATTAAAAACATAGAGGGAAATAACTTCCCTTTCATACAGAGAAATTATAGTCATGAAAGCCTAAAGACAACTTGTTGGCCTCCTATGAAGCTGGGACAAGGCAAATGCAGTAATAGATAAAAATCTCATCAGAGAAGTTTGATTTAAAGTAAAGAAAACAGCCATCCAAGGGAGATTTAAAAAATAGCAAGAATGTAACAGCTTGCCCAGTTCTGATACCCATGTCTTCCTTAGCAACTTGAGCTGAAGTGCCAGCGTGCGCAGAGCCACAGGGAAGCCAGCAGGGACTGACCCGGTTTTGAGGGCTTGGTCCTGGTAGGCCGACCGCACCCCCAGTCCTTTGGGCCCCATCACTGTCCGCTGGCAGGAAGGCTCATACCTTTGGGCAGGCCCAAGTGAGCCTGATCTCAATTCTGTTGCATGCTTCTGGTGAGAGCTTTGTGATTTGGTTGAAAACATTTCTATTCTTCCAGGTTGCAGTTTCATCTGCCTTTCTTTGAAGATTTCCTTGTGATTCCAACTGGGGTTAAGCCACAGGCAGTCTCTGAGGAGACGCACTCTTTTGTCCACACATGTGTGTGAATCCTTGCTCACAATGAGTGAGCCTCGAATAACCCTTGTTATTGTGTGTGGCCCAAGCTTACCTTTTCTTGTAGATGCGCATATACTGTTTGGGAAGAAACCCCTCACCTATCCTTGTGCTCTGATAGGTGGACCAAGATCTAATCCCTGTCTGTGCAAGATTTTTTTTTTTTTTTTTTTTGTCTTTTGTCTTTTGTCTTTTGTCTTTTGTCTTTTGTCTTTTGTCTTTTGTCTTTTGTCTTTTGTCTTTTGTCTTTTGTCTTTTGTCTTTTGTCTTTTGTCTTTTGTCTTTTGTCTTTTGTCTTTTGTCTTTTGTCTTTTGTCTTTTGTCTTTTGTCTTTTGTCTTTTGTCTTTTGTCTTTTGTCTTTTGTCTTTTGTCTTTTGTCTTTTGTCTTTTGTCTTTTGTCTTTTGTCTTTTGTCTTTTGTCTTTTGTCTTTTGTCTTTTGTCTTTTGTCTTTTGTCTTTTGTCTTTTGTCTTTTGTCTTTTTTTCCGTGTCCGGCAACGGATTGCAACCCTCAGTGTTGCCCCCGTACCGGACTGGGGACCGGGACCGGCAACGGGATCGCAACCCTCGGTGTTGCTCCCGTGCCTCGCTCAGCCAGTGAGCGGGAACCGGTCTGTATGTGGGATCCGAACCCTCGGGCGGGAGCGCCGCCACACTTCCCAAGCGGCGCACTATCCAGTGCGCCACCGGGCCGGCCCCTGTGCAAGATTTTTTGTGGGTTGGTCTTAGAACCTGTGATAACAGATAAATAGAGTGTGGGGACTGTGGCCAACTTAGTGATTCTGGAAGGCAGTGATGACTTAAGTGCTTCCTGTTGTGCCATCTGTGTTCAAAACAAAGCCGTCATGAAATCATTGTGCCACTATCTGATTGTCATTTTTTCCAGATCTTATTTACAGAGAAATACTGCTTTAAACAGGTAGCAAAAAGGGGGAAACACTTTCTAGGCCAAGTTCTGGTGTTTGATTCCCTTGAGCAGAATAAAAAATTGTTTCCGGTTCCAGCAACTGCCATTATATTGTGAGGTCTCCAGATGCCTTTTTAATTATTAGTGAAGTTGCAGAATCTGGAATTTCTCTCTTCCCCAGGTCTGTCTTTTTTTTAATCAGCATCCACTCGCTGGACCAGCTAGGCCATGGGCTTGGTGGGCTGGTGAGGTCTGTGCAGGGGCAGGTCTGGGAAGGGAGAAGGAGGGAAGAAGAGGCCGCCCCTGCTATCAGCCTATTGATGATACTAGGCATGTTTATAGTCCCAGGCTGCCTTGGAAAAGATACTTGGTTAACTACCTTCCTATCCTCTGCCTTTGGAAAAGTGAAGTCTTCTGTTCCAGAATCAGATCTAGGGCAAGAGCTGAATGTTGGGGACCAGTGCTCCTTGGTGCTGTGTTGCTATGGGTGGGCTCCTGGTATCTAGTTTGGGAACTCATGGGTCCAGGCATGTGACTCCAAATCTGGCTTGGGTGCCATCTCAGACAGGACACAGACCCAACCCTGTCACCCCTTTGCTTTGTAAACTTTCCTCTTTATCTTTTGTTTCTTCTCTTCTTAGCAGATATCATTAAAATCATAAGAACTGTCTGGTTGAGGAAGTAATTTGAAATATTTGTCCTTTTAGGTTTCTTTTATTTAGAAACTGTCTCTGAAAGAAAATACCTTCAATATCTGGTTGGTTAAAGGGTTAATACAGCTTGGACTCCCATAAGAACATATCTTCAGTTACCTTAGTCAGCTTTGTTGATGGGCTTTAGGGTAAGGCCCAGAGTTTCTTTTCATGATAGTGCCTGAAAGGAGAGGTGGTGTGAAACAAGATTCTGATAGTAGTTTGAGTGGGATTCAGTAATAGTCTGAAACTGTCAAATCTGAGTTGTCTTTGGATGACACTGCTGACACCCCATAGGAAGTACCCCCTTTTTATCAGGGAAGCTGCCTGAAGGAACGGTTAGGAAACGAGGACAGTGGTGGGAGACCTGGTGCCCATGGGAGGCAGGGTCAGGCCTGACCAATGGCTGTTTCCCTCCATGGACCCTGCTTTGCCTTTCTGCTTTTTCTAGAATCGATTTTACAAGTTTGGAGACTCTGTTCCCCTTGCTGCAGAACTGAGGAAGGCAAATATTCAGGGCTTGAAGGGAGAACTCGCTGGTCCATGGGCTGGGGGAAGGCGAGATGGCTGGGACGGCCCCCAACACTGGCCCAGGCCCACAGAGGGGCTCCCTGCTTCCAGCTCTTCCACTCCAAAACCCATGGGTTTTCAAATCTCATGAAATTGACCTATTTGGATAAAATCAGTGCTTTTCATAACTTGATTTTGTTGGATGGGGTTCCCTCTGAGAATGCTAGGGATTGAAGCTATTTGTATATGTTGAAATTTGCAGGGGTTCAGGAACCTATGGCAGAAACACTAAACTATTTATTACAGGTATGATTTTTTTTTTTTTTTTTCAAAGCAGGCAGTTCTGTCTTTGTATATTTTAAGACAAATAATCACTTCACCTTTGGTGCCTTCCATGTGTCACATAAGCACTCTTGTCAGTCATGGAATTGGAAAACAAAGATGTACATTTAGTTAAACCAGATAACACTATTTTTGTAGCATGACTTTAGATTGTGTCCTTTTACTATTGCTTTCAACAATGCTGTTTCTGAAGTTTTAGCCGTTTTCCCTTTAAGCTTCATATGTATTTTAAAAAAAGAAAAAATTCAAAAAAATCCCCTGGCTATTCCTGTCTCTTCTCTGCTGCTTTCTCCCCAGCATCATGTTTCTGCTTATTTAAATAGTTTGAGAGTAAGAGCATATTTCTGTGAAATAATTAGTATGATTGCATTTGGTATTTTTTAACCACTTGCTCAGTTTGCAGAGCCTCTGCTCACCTCAAATGGAAAGAGGAAAGTGTTTCCATATTAGAAAAAAAGAAAGAAAAGCATATCATCAGTGCTCTGACTTCCACTTCTTTGGGTCTAAAATGGTGAAAAGCCTGTGTCGGCTCCTTCGCCTCTTGGCCAGGCTGGCGCACGCAAGGTTCTCTGTCCTGGCCTCCTCCAGCGCTGCCGACCTCTGCTGAGTGGGGAGCTGGGCTGTGGGGCTCACCTTCCACTCAGATTCAAGATTGATTCGTGGATGCTCTGAGTAGGCTCGATGGCCCTTTCTAGGTCTCGGGCCTGAACAAAATATTCTTTGCTTTGAGGAGGTGGATGAAACCAGGACACAGACATACTCTTTAGTGGCTCCATTTGCCTTCACATCCCTGGACACCAGTTATGTCTGCTCAAGAAGGATCCTGAGTAAACTAGCTGAGCCATTGCGAGATGAAGGTATGCATTAATTGAAGCAGAAAATTGTAGCTTTTTTTTTTGTCTTTCTGAAGGATCAGAATATGTAATTATTTCATAATAAAGGAAGTCAGGTCAGACAGCTAAGTAGTAACTTCTCAATATGATTATTCATTGGTACTTTACCTCGTGGCACTTTGGGGGGGCAGTGTTAATTTAATAACTATTACACTCTGCTTACTAAAAGTCTTTTTCTTTTTAACAGTTTAAGGACAGCTGTGGGGCATTTGAAACTTTTGTTTATGCTGTTTGTGAGTCAGGGCTCCCACCCTGGCTTCTCAAACTGACATGTATGCCCAGGGGTGGGCAGCACCTGGCTCAGAATGGCTCGAGTGTTTGACTGTGTACACTTGGAGTGGCTTTTGGGGCCCCAGAGTTTTTGCTTCTGTTGATGTGTCCCTGACAGCAGATGAAGCCTCACGTTGCCCTCAGTTTTCCCCCTTTATTTCTTTTGAAGGACCAATTTTTCATGGTACTTGTCCTGATTGTTTTCGTAGTGTTCAAATCTGTATTTTTGTATGTAGAGGGAAATAATTTTCTCAGTACTAATCGCTAATAAATATTGTATTAAATTGTCATGAAGGAGTTCTTGTTTAATAAATGGACATGTAAAAATGCTATTGTCTCTTTCTTCACTCTCTCTTGCCTCCTCTGCCCCTTCAATGGCTGTAGATCCAGTTCCTGAAACAGGCTTGCTATGTGGGGGTTGAATGGAGTCACAATCCACAGGAGTGTCTCAGCGTCGGTGGCAGCTCTGCTGGGGCTGGCAAGGTGGAGCAGACTCCACCATGTGCCTCTTGCGGCTTCTGCACATCCAGCTTCCATACACATTTCCAGAACGTGTTGTGTGAGAGTTGGGGCAGAATGCCTTGCCTCTTCCCTTCAGCCTGGGCAAGAACACTGACCCAGGGTCCTCCCAGGCTGCAGCTCCGAAGTCCCTGTGCAACCAGTTTCCAAAGCCCTGGAGCCCCAGGTTCTGGCTGCCTGGAGGCTACCATAGGGCATTACCCTGATGTGGGAGGTAAAGGGCCCTGGGCCAGTTACTTAATCTTTCAGTTTCCTTGACTATAAAACAGGATTGTGCGAGTTAAGTAAGAGGACCAAATGTGGTCAGATGCTTACCCTAGTGCCTGGCATAGAGGAAGTGCAGGCATTGTTGTTAAAGCCTAAAGCTGCAGGAGTCCCACCATATGTGTTACCTTTTGTGTTAAAGCATGATGTGACACCACACAGTATTGCTGTTGGTGGTGGAAGGTTTTTTCAAACACACACACACCAAGCAGGTAGTCAGTCTGGTTTAGTCTATTATGGCTTTTTTCAGGGCAGGAGAGTCACATGCAAGAGAACAAGGTTACAAATGCCCGAAACATGGCTCCAGAACTCAGGCTCATTTCATGAGGCCTCTTGGATCACAGAAAATACTATGTGTTAGGAAGCTGCTTTTGTATAAAAAAAGTATAAAAAGTCACAAAATCCCATCATAGATACATACACAGTATAAATCCTTAGGTGAACACAGAAGGCTCGTCGCACCTCATGAGGATCAGGTGGTCAGTAGACCTGCTCTAGTGTCTAGAAGCACACTGTCAGGGGGTCCCAGGAACCTCTCACCCCCAGGAAGCACAAAGTTTTGGCTGGGCCCATTCAGCTACCCTGACGCTGTCACTGCGACATCATTGTTCAGTGCCTTCTGTCTTTTGGACCCAGGAAGCTAGTCTATGAGCTCTTCTTTGAAACAGTCTTAGACCCAGAATGGTCATCTCACCTGAAAAAGACAAAGCTTCCCAGGGCGTGATGTGTCACTTATGGGCACTGAGACCTACTCTCCAGACGATAAGGCAAAGGTCAGTTTTCTCCCTTCTTCCAGAATGAAGTGGGGACTAGTGCACCTGGAATAGAACATTTTTGGAAGGGTCACTCAACAAAGTGTCTGGCATGAGCAGGAGGACCAGATGCAGACAAAAGCACCGGTCCCTGCAGTGGTTTCTGTCTTCTTTTTTTTTTTTTTTGTCTTTTATCTTTTTTCCGTGTCCGGCAACGGATCGCAACCCTCAGTGTTGACCCCGTACC